AGATACATTCATTTTTGTGACAGGTAATTCCGAACGAAGGGAGTAGAACAGAAGGATCAGTTGCACAATCGAGAAGGGTGTGAATGTAAGCAGATAATGATTGATAGGTGTGTGTGCAGTACTATTCGTGGGCATGTCACCGAGCTAATTTTTAATCAACACATAACGAATCCCTGGTGTGGCAGGTGAAGAAACAAAACCATGATGCATGTGATGTTTACATGTCAACTAGCACAGAGCTATCAAAGGGAGTTGATATCCCCCGCCCCAATTGTGTTACTGGATTACACAAAGTCTCTTTTACTTGGGAACAATGTAACCATTATCTAATATGTCAACAAAATCACGGGAATTTTAGAAACAAATTGACTGTGATGGCTAGATCAATCATGGACTATTTGTTTACCACTATTTGTTTTCTGTTTTAACGTAGTAATGTCTAGCACTATCTTCACAGAAGTTGGTGGCGGTTGTTAGCCCAACCCAATCTTTCTGCCGGCCGCCGGAATGAGCTTGTGGAAGAACCTCGGTGTCCGAGTAATTGAGGAGGAGCAATGTGTTTGAGATATGGTCTGGGAGGCTTTCTCTCTTTTTGCTACTCTCTACTGAGAGCGTTTCATTGGTTTTATACTAAGTACAGAGTAATAGAATACAACCTATGTACTCTAGACAAGACCGCTCCATGACATCACTAGTATGGGCGGCCCCATGTGTAGTCAACACATGGGGCCCCACCCCACGTGTTGCATTCTTGTAGCATTGACCCCAGCTGGCTAGGCAACAGGACCAGGTGCACCAAGCACGGATGCTGGATGCGCTGCAGGCCTCGGCGCGTGGACTAGCTTTGCCGGCGTCCACTTGATGGGCTGGCCACTTGGTGATCTTGTTTATGCTTTCTCTTATGTTTTCTGGGCGTGCTTGTGATGTGGCCGCAACAGACTATCTATGTCGGTATGTTGCGACTCGATGTTAGAACGGTTGATTGCTTCATTTATAAAGCGGGATAAAAACCTGTTTTGAGAAACCACCTAAAATAGACTTGGGGGTGATTTGTCCGGATTTGTAAAGTTTAGGGGGCTAGATATCCTATTTTACAGCCGAGGGGATTAACTAGC